CCTACATGACATGAAAGTTACCTTGTTTCAGCAATTTCAAAGTTAATACTCGACCTCTAGCTAGAAAATCATCATCAAGAGAACAAACCCCAAGCATCAGTTGTGAACTGTACACTCCATAAGCTGGTGACTGTGGTATGTTACTGCAAATGAATGGAAAAAATTACTATGGGGAAATCGAAGTCGTCACGTTTGTTATATAGTCTGACACAAAGATCGTGGGTGTTTTTCAAGAAGCAAATGCAAGTAGTCTTAGAATCAGTGGTGCCCTTAAATTCCAACTCTCTCGTGTAGATTTTATCTACATAGTCTCCAAAAGCGGAGTTATTCAGTGACTGCTCTTGCTTGTGAGGCCTTGAATAAATTCTTCCTCATAAGAGTAAAGAAATAAATCAGCAAGTAAAGGAGCACAATTAGTGCTCATAGGAATACCGATTAATTGCTGAAATATCTAGAGACCTTAATGAATATTTGACAGCTAAAATACACAAGCGAAACCCTGTCGTTGGGACTAATAAAAAAGTGACCATGCCACTTTGGATTTGTTATATTCCAGGAACACTGACTTTTGATCTTAAAAGGTGACCGACTGTTCATTATCACTGACACATTATCTCTAAAGCGCATTCGAAATAAGATAATATTATTTTCCTCAGAGTGGCGTGGTTAGTGTAATATGACTACATAACACTGTAAGAAAAATCCCCTTTGGTTTCTCGAAATTCATTTCCCTTCACTTTCATAATAAAATGAATTTTATCTGATATGATGCAAAATATTATGTATTATCATACAGGCGCAAACGAAAGTGTCTATGTGGAACCTTTAACCTTAAAGATTAGAGGATGCAAGATCCGATCCGGTTAAGACAATTATTTATTTTAATGTGAATTTCGATATTTTAGACAATCTCTGTATTATAGTAAGCTTTCAATGAAAACTTGTCTAATACTCCCATTTCACTTTCACCAAGAATTGTTTTTTTTTTCAATAGACCCGATCTAATTGACCAATTTGTCCCAATGAAACATTTCTTTAATCGTTTCCTTTCTTATAACCTGATTAATTCCTGACCAATGGATCATGACGGATTGACGAATCGGACGTTCTAAATTGGTTTATTATATTTATTATTGGCCGTTTCAAAAAGGTTTAAGAATGTGTTGTGTATAATAATAATAAGCTTTATATTATGTATACAAGGCGAATTGCCCAAATTGTTAGATAATATTTAAGGAAACAACAAAAACAAACAAAAGACAGCAAAGATAAAGAACTAATATACAGAATTGTAGTCCTGCAATAGGAATTGGTGCGACTGGCCTATAGTTCAATGGAGTTATTATTGTTCATGCGCTTCTAATAAATACAAGAGTTCATAAATTTCTTTTCTTACAAAAAACACAAACAGTAAAAACCAAATAGGCTTAGGCCTATATATACATCGAAGTAATCAGGAGTACAGAAGACGAACGAAGCGAATATACAAATGAAGCGATTAACTGAAATATATAAAATATATCAGAAATAAGTGATATGAACAATT